GCCTTAAAAGAAACAAGGCTACCACATCCTGCTGTCTTCTCTCTCTTGTCTCTCAACACACAATCATATCTCTCCACTAGTGTGCACAGTAGCTTGATCATAATGAGATACTGCGGATGTGTGTGTGCATGTGTGTGAGTGTGTAGGTTAGTTCTGAATTTTGCATTAAGTTGCTTTTCACATTGGGTAAAAATTGAACTGCATTAAATAACAAATTCATTAATCCAAAAGAAAAGTATTCTGCCAGAGATTGCTCAAAGACTACAACAACCTAAGAATAAAAAACAGCAGAATAACAACGTAAATATATATCAGAAATGTACTAATCAATATAAAGTGTGTAAGAAATAATCCACACTCAAATCAAAGATGAGAAAATCTAAATTCTCTTGTTTGTATGCATTCATTCAAACCTAAGCATAGATAATCATGTTTATTCTTTTTAAATGGCCTTGTATGATACAGATTAATTCAGCTAGGTGCTTTACATTTTTAATCAGATCTACTCAAAAGGGAGTAACTGTAGTGAATGCATGGGATGTCTGCCACTATAACTCCACTTCGCAGCAGGCGGTGGGATGAAAATGAATATATATTTGCGATCATTCTGATTTGCAACACTTAACCAACACATATCATTAAATATACGTTTGGCACATGGCCTGTTTGCTCTGGGTTCAAAGCAACATCTCTGTATAGCAGACAGAGCATTAGATGTGATGGTCAAAGATTTGTAAGGGAAAAGTCCATGCATGGTTTTAACTGTGTTCAGTCCAAGAATCAATCACATTTAGTTTAGATAGCCCAATATTACAAATTAGTCTCTGGGGCCTTATCAGTTTGAACAGAATACGACTCCATATCCTTAGACCCTTGCATCGTACAAGGAATTAACTCCCAAAGAAACCCCACGATAAATGGGGAAAAATATGGACGAACATGCATGCAATAGGTGTCTTGTGTATACATTTAAAATATAATACAATAACAACATAAACAGTCCAAATGTTAGAAAATATGTGTCTATATATAAAAAGAAAATGAAGAAGGATCCAGGAGGTGCAACAGATTGATAAACATCTATGCATAGCAGTGATGTATAGCTATGACGTGGCTGAATTAAGACATTTACTGAAGGGAATGTGACTATCCATCACCAGGGTCCCAGGATCTGGTGAACGGCCAGCAAAAGAGCTAAATGTTACTGCAGGTAGTCAGGAGTGGGGATTGAAGTCAAGGCCCAGGAAGAACGCCGGCAGTTGAAGAAAGTGGCCAAACGGTTGTACTACGCTAACGTTCTAGTCTTTGGCGTAAATTGGGCCCAAAAAAGACTTTCTCCCATTGACTTACATCGGGAAAGAGACCTTCATGATTTTTTTCCTGAATCCTTGCTGATTAACAAAATTCCAATCAAAACACTTCCCAAAGACTGCAAGAAAGAATAATATTATCATTACTGTTTGTTGACAATGAAAGTAATATACTGGTGGCCACGTGACAAGCCCACCTCCAACTTCCCCATAACTAATTTTACTCATTCTTATCTGTTTACTGTACGAATTGCCCTGTAAGGCCTTATTTTGGCAGAGTAGTGATTTGAGCTAAATGCTAACATGCTCACAACGACAAAGCTAACATACAGATATGTAGCTGGTATATTAACATGTTCACCATGTTAGTGTAGCTTACCAGCTTGCAAATCTTGCTGATAGACACATTACCCAGAGTCAAGCTGAGACTGGTAACTGTATTATTAAGGTATTTTGTCATAAACTAAAGGATTTTATAAATTGAAATGTTATATCTTGTGGTGCTAGTGGAACATTTCATGGATAATCAAAGTAATTAGGATTAATCCTCTTGGCACATGAATGTAACATATTTCATGGCCATCCATCCAATAGTTGTTGATATATTTCAGACTGGACAAAAGTGTTGGACCGACAGACAGACTGACATTGCCGTGCCTAGAGCCACGCCGCTAGTGTGGCTAAAAGAGAGAGGGAAGACAAGAAGGAGGAGAAAATGCATGTGAAATAATAATGTTAGACGTAATGGACACATAGATTCATAGCCAATTCGTTCAGTATACATTTTACGACCTTCAATAAAGGATAGAAAGGTAGACAGACAGACGGAGATGGAGCAGGCAGCGCTCAGCCAGCCAATAGAAACAGACAGTGAAACATAAAGGCAGAAGGACCGAAGATCCCATCTCGGCGCAGAGTGCTGCTTTCTCCTTCTCCAAGTTCAGCCCTTAGGCATGGCCCGGGCTGCTTCTCCTGCTCCCTTCCTCCCTCCTACCACCATATGGACAGAGCAGCCCATACTCCAGTACATCTCATCAAAGAACAACCTCTATGTTCCTTTTCTTCTCATCCCCGCCCAACAGAGGACGTACATATTTGGTCATGTTTAAAGTAATTTCCATGCTATCCCTGTGGCTTTGGGAGAACAGTGAATAGTTGGCAATGAGGGGTAATCCTTCTTAATGGAGTCCCCAGCCCTCAGATGGATTGAAGTATACACAGCAGATCACATAAGGACACTTTTTATTGCTTCAACAAAGAGGGTCGAAACCTTTTTTGTGTTTTAAAGTGCTAACCACCCCCACCTCTTTCATTTTAACCCCCTCCCTGCCTGTCTCCTCTTTTCTTTATCGGCCTCTTCTGTCTGCATGTCTTCAAGAGCGTTTCATCCTGACCAGTCTGGGATTTTATCACGCCTGCTTTGGTCATTACATCACAATTACGGAGCTTTTGGTGTACAGGAGAAATAAGAGATGGAGAAAAAAGGGAAGAGTGGAAAAAGGCGACAGATGAAATGTAGGTCAGTGGAGATGTGCTCGGGGCAGTTTCTCTCTCTGTTTCTCTCTCTCCCTGGGCCAAAGCTAAAGAGGCTAAAAGAGACTGGGGGTGAAAGTGCCTCTCACCCACACCTGCCTCTCTCCTACCTCGCTCAGAAGCTCCGACAGTGTTATCTCTCAGAAAATCTAATGACAGACGCTGAACGCCGGGCGTGATGCTAACCGAGTCTGACAGGAGTGGCTCTTTTCAGCACCGACAGGAGAGACACTCACTTCTACCCATTCATGACAAGATCCATTTTCACATTTTCTTAATATTTTGCTGAGCAGAGCACCGGAGGTCACCAGGAGTCTGGTCCTGGGTCAAAAGAGACCTGGTGGGGTCGACCCCTGCCTGGGGACAGTGAGAAAATAAGATAACAACACCAGTAAATTGTCTAAAGGCTGAGTTATAATTATTCCCCACTACTAAGAGGAAATCATAGCGTGACAAACTGTGCCTTTTTCAATTCAAAAGCCAAATAGATTTAAAATGAATTTCCCTACAGTGCAGCAGTACAGTGAAACATCTTCCAACATATCTGAGACTGAGCATTTCACAGAGCACTTGTAAAGTGGCCTTATAGAAATGGCTGCAATGTAACCATGTAACATATTCAATTTGTATTTGATTGCATTTGATAACATTGATTGTTAGTCCATAAAACACTGGGAATACTGCTACATTTCTAGTTGTAATATATTAGGGAAAAGCCTGTTATAATAAACATATTAACAATACAATCAGCAACCCATAGGTAAAATAAGTAAAGAAGGCGAAAGTTTGTTTCAAACAGAGTGAACGTACGTTTTAAACCCCACAGCCTACACTGGGTCAGCCTGATGCAGTACAGTGGTCTAACAACAACACTTGTTATACTCTTTCTTTTTCCAGGTCAGTGTTTTAGTGTTTCTCAGAGGAAGCAGAGGACCCCACCCTGAAAGCAAACCTGGAGACACCTGAGACAACTCATGTCATCGAGCTGCTCTTCCTTCTGTGACATGAGATCTGTCAGCCTCTACTGTATACTGTATATGTTTGTAAGCTCTAGCAAAATTATGTAATTATTGTACTAAATACAAACATAACTTTATGTAACAATCGTATGTCCTTTTCTGTAATACATAAACATTGGACACGTTTTTGTGATGATAAAGTCTCTTGGACTAATTTACATATATGCTTAAACGTATGACATCTTCATCAATTAAAACCTATATTACATAAATAGAATATATATACATATTGATTTATATACTAGATCAACAAGAAACAATTATCAGTCAGTATTATTTTAAAGTATGGGTTATCGCTATGTTTTCATCTTGTTGGACACTAATCAGAAGATTTTTTTAATTGCAAAAATATTTTAATTAGAAGAAAACATAATTCGATTATTTAAAACTGATCCAAACTTATCAAATGCATCCAGTTTGTCACTAGACAGAGTCTGCCTTCACTTTGAGACTTCAAATTAACTTGGTTTAACTGTGTTAAATCAACTTAGTTGTGTGTGAATATATACCCCACGTTTCTATGAAAAATAAATAAATAAAAAAAGTAGCCTAATAAATAATGTCATTCCACGAGACATAACGGTGCATTTCAGTACCCTCGAAGCAGAGATCGGATTTAAGATACACTTCCTCTTTATTGTGCATGCAACACAATAGTCACAATTGCATGGAGCTGCCTATGAGGAGGATGACATTAAAACTTTGCTGTGACTGTGTCTGTGTACTGTAGCGACATAGTGCGCGCGCGCGCGTGTGATTGTGTGCGTGTGTCTGTGTGTGTGTTTCAGTGTGTGTTTGTGTGTGCATGCTCCGGGCTGGAGGCTGAGCAGGAGAGAGTGGGAGGAGCAGAAAGTGCTCCAGTCCAATCAGGGCCGCCGGGTAAAGCCTCTCCTATACGCTCTTCCTTCCCTGAGCCCGCAGAAAACAGTGAAACCCTCCCACAGAGGTGAGAGCGTAGATGTCATGAGAAAAGCGACCGCACGACCACAGCACAACGACCGAAGCACCGACCGACCTCAGCCCGCCTCCCTGCGCCCCAGTCTGGGATGCTTTTAGCGCAGAGACTCCTCCACTCAGGGCAGCCCGTGGACACCGACGCAGATCTCCAACACTCTTTTCGTTGTAGTTGTTATTTTTAACCGAGGATCTTTCCCCCCACATCACCCCCATTTTTTAAAAAGTGTTTATGCTCGTTTCTTCATGACTTGGGGAGGGGAGGGGAGCCTCAGCACTAGCTCCGGCAAATCCAACACCATGCGAGGTAAGACCATCACACTGCTCCAAACACCGCCGCACTTTCCCCAGAGCGTCATCCCGCTAAACACACACACACGTTGCACGGCAGGCTTTATCCCACCTTTGGCCTTGAAAGTTTATTCTGGGAGTTTTCAGCTGCGAAGCTGATCTGTCGTTTTTTTCACAGCCGAGCGGAAGAGAGTGTGTGTGGCTGAATATTTCAGCACCTTGCAACCCTAAAAGTTTATTTGGATCTATCTCTCTGTGTGTGTGTGTGTGAGAGAGAGTTTGAGCGTGCTATGTGTATGAGGAATAGTCCTACAGTTTTGCTAATTCATGCGCAAATCCAGTGAAATCTGTGGTTGCAAATTAAAAGTAGCGCATGATGTTTGATTAAAGCTTTAATCATTTGAGCTCCAACCCAACGGAATCTGCGGACAGGCTGCCACCAGATTAGATCAGATGATGTGCAGAAAAAAACACAACTTTATTTCGTTATGTTCTGGGGATAAACTTTATGGGATACTTTTCTAGCGCTCTACTAACCCATTTCTGCACCGGGCCGGGGACGTTGAAATTCAACGTCAATGTCGTCCTGAGCGCACACACACACACACACACACACACTCTCTATCACACAGATACACACATTCACACACAGGTTGACACCGCTCTTCTCACTTTCACTAAGTCATCCTTTGCAGTCAAATTACCTTTAAATCAGGAAGATGCGTTAATTCGTTTTCTCATAAATCAGTGTTTACTTTATCGCTGGTGTAAGTCCCATACGAATGCGTAACCTAATTATTATCAGCTGATTTGTTTTTATTTACTGTTCCAATGTTGGGTAATTATGTCTGACGCAGAGTCGCAACACTCGTTCAACTGAATGATCTTGAACTCTTCATTTACAAGTCACTCTGTTTCTGACTGTAATGACCTCTTCATCCTTTTAAACAACTGAACTAATTAGGAGTGTTGTGACAGAAATAGGGAGGAGGGACATAAATTGTTCTCATAAATGTAGCATACAACTTAAAAGCTCTGCACTATAATTTGAAGGGAGATATAATGTCAAACTCAAATAAAGTTAGCATCTGCTTCAAATTAAAAGACACAGGCATCTTAAAGATACTTTTTTCACTGGGTTATGTTGTTATCAGATGTTGATAATATCCAAGGATAAATGATTGGCCATCATCATTATTATCCACATTATAAATCATATCTGGACATCATAATTCATTATAATGATAAACAAGATTGATTGAACACTATTTAATGGGTCAAACTTAATTTTAATTTAGTTTTTGCTTGAAAAAAAGATTCCGATCTATCTATCGATCTATCTCTCCATCTTTCTATCTCTCCATCTATCTATCTATCTATCTATCTATCTATCTATCTATCTATCTATCTATCTATCTATCTATCTCTCTATCTATCTATCTATCTATCTCTCTACTGATGCTTTTTGTGTTTGAATGTCACTTAAAGCTTTCTGCTGCCTCAGCTTCAGGCCATCAAACCTCAGGCAAGACAAAACATGAGAAGGCCAAACACCCCCCACTCGCTCTCTCATCCCGTGAACTCCTCTGTCGTGCACCTTGTATTTTATCCACATTTTAATGGGCCTCACGACCACTCTCGTGCAAGGGAGGCTTTGGGGGGTATACCGAAATCTCCTGCTTTCACTTTATAGCCGTGGTTGGCAATGGAGGCCCCTGAAGCTTCTCTCTCACCCCTCTTTCTCCATGTCTCTCTCTCCCTCTATCCCTCTCTCTCTCCATCTTCCTCTCTCCCTCTGCACGCCCCAAAGGGTTTTGTCAGATAGAATTAAATCAGTGTGGGCCGTGCGGCCCCCACTCTCAACCTGTGTGTGTGGAGTCTCGGCTGCCCTTACACAGAAATGCGCTCACAACCACAAGGTTATAAAAAATAGAGGCCCCTCATGAGCCGTGGTAATTATCATTTAACAATAGCCACAACTCCTGAAGCCCTGACCAAAGATGATGTCACCCCATCGCCTGACGGGGGGAAAAGCAAGAGAGAAATAATAGATAAATATCATCAGGGCCTTTTCCTCATCTCAGAAAATGAAGCATTGTGGGGTTTTTTCAGTATGGCTCAGTGCTGTGGAGGTCGTTGTAAACAAGATAATTATTTCTGTATTTTCAATGGCAAAATGATGCTGTGCTGTGAATAGTGTTCAGTTAAAACCTAACAAAGAAGTTGATTAAATTATATCAGTAACACTGCCATTATATCTTTGAGTGGAACAAAGTTTTGGTTTTATATTCAAGCAATAGCCCTAAACAAGCCTGAACAAAATGATGTTTTAATCTATTTAGATTTAAATTGATATTTGCTGTTTATAATTGCATTTAAATGTTAGATTTGCCTTATTTCTAACAGTACATTTGCCACAATAACATCAACTTTCTCCAACTAAATGTTTCATTCAATCATTATCGATGAAAGCACAATGCCTCTATTGAAAAAAACTAAAGCATTTGCAAACTTGGATACTTATTAAAATGTACAAGAACTTGCACAACCCCACAAACATAGACTGATATTGTAGACGTGTAATCTGCATGTCATTCCCTTCCTATTTTCGCAGTGCTCCTTATATTGGTCCTTGTTAGCCTGGGTCTGTGTGTTCTTTGTAATACTGGTATAAGCCTAAGCGCTCCTACAGCATATAGATGCAGCGGGTCAGCCAGGTCAAAGAGTTCAGCGATGGAGGAAGCAACAGGGGAGGAGGCGATATGTGATATGTGTCAATCACACATTTCCATGCTCCTTCACCATTGGAAAAGATAGGATGACGGAAAGTGTGAGAGAGCAGAAAAACACTAAGGTGATGACAGTCTCAAAAGAAACATATTTAGAGTCTACAGCAAAGGAAACCTCCATTTACATCTTTTATAGGACGTATGGCATGAGCTCTAACTAAAATGCAGAAAGCACTAAAAATACTCACACACCCACACAGACAAACACACACACACACAGCTGCAATACTACGCATGACGGCCTCATGCCAATAGAATTAGTCCCATCCTGCTTTGCTTTAGAGGCTTGTGTGAGCATTGATTTTTGTCCGATACTAAAGCATCCCGGGATCAATGCTTGTTCGAAGCCAACGGAAGCAGTCTGTTAAGTTAAATCTATGTCACACTAAAAACCTGTAGATATGAGATTTGGCACAAATTATTCAGTTATTTCATCATTTACATTCAGTATTTGTTTCTGTTTTAATGTTAACTTGGTTTATTAATACCTATGAATTGGATCAATGTGTTTATAAGATATCGTTACCAATTGACTTTATCCCCTTTATTTTGCATTTACAAGCAGTGAATAAGTGGTTTGTAACCATACAATAAAGTTGTTAGCAGATATAAGGGCATTATTAATGTAATTGTCAACAACTTCCATAAGTGCAGGTTCATTTGTAGACTGATTGTAATGCACGATGTAGCAAAAATAAAGTTGTAATAATATAAAATGTGACTTCATAGGAGAATTTAATACATTTTTTATATTTCATTATACCAATGTACTTTAATCTTCTTAAAACCTAATTGAAGTGCTTTATAACCCACTCATTTAATGTATTGTGCTAAATTGTGGGGATAAGATATGAATGAGATACACTACTGTATGAAGTGTTCCAAAAGATGATTAAAGTCATATGAAACACCTGTTTTTACTAACACTTTTCTTTTAGCACCTACAATGAACAACTACACCAGAATAGAAACGGTCATTCTTCATACTGAGTGATAAGAGACCATCCTCAGTCAGAAGCAGCATGTCAGCGCACAGCTTTCGCACCAAATCACTTTTCTATTGTTGCCTTGAAATCACTTATTGTGCACCATAGTGGGCACCTGGCCGGAGTGAATCTGAGGCTGGCAGTGTCCTCATGAAACTGCTCAGTCTGTTGTCGAGCCTGTTTTTGTTGATTGTGTTGTTGATTGTGTTGTTGATTGTGTTGTTTATTGTGCGTTAGTGCTGACTAATGGCCCAGTGTTACGTAAGAAGAGAGGAGAGATTACCCCAAGCCCATGCAGGCCACCCTGTTAATCCCTCAACACAGCCCCACTGACTGACTGACGTACCGCCACAATGCTGTTGCAACACACACACATACGCACATATAAGATTACATTTAGGACCAACTGTCTTCAGATACACACCGTCTACTCCTCACCTAGCCTGTCCGCATGACTGTTTTATTCCATGCCATCCTCCAAAATCATCCCACCATGGTGCATGTGTTTGTGTCTGTGTGTTTTTGTGTGTGTGTGTGTGTGTGTGTGGCCTGGATGGCACTCCTGTAGTCCCACTGAGCCGCTATCATAGCCCGTGTTTGTTTAGCATGTGCTCAGCGTGCGCTCCATGTTGGTTTTATCCCTCTGTGTCTGTCTGGGGGAATCTAAGCTAACTGTTTTTCTCCTCAGTCAATTCTCTCTCCCTTTTTCTCTTTTTTAAAATCTTTATTCACACAAAGCGTGGGCTACACGGCACGCTTCGGTTTGTGTCTCCACTTTATCTTAGCCAGGAGGGATTTCAGCCTGAACCACTGCTAAACTCTAAATCTGCCTTGAAGTCATACAGTCCTCTGACAGCTCCTTCTGTTTTGTCAGTTTTACTCATCCATGAAGCCAAGCACGTCTCAATGGAGACACAGTTAATATTCAATATTCACAGTTTCCTTCGATTTGCATTGAAGTAATAACTTGGGGAAAGAGGGTGACGGCGCTTGTTAAGAGCATATATCTATGAAAAGAGAGGACATATATTTTATTAGATGGGTGGCTTAAATAGAAAAAAAATTATCATTTGGAGAAAAATGTAGCAGGAATTGAATTTACATGTCCCGCAATACATCTCGAGTGCAATGTTTGATAGTCCAAAGTCAGAGAGCATGTTCACCTGCACTTCTAAACTCAAGTAGCAAAACTCATGTATACAATCTAGTGTTGGATTAATGCAGAGGCACAGAATTAAAAT